TATAATTTTTTCAGAATTTTTCAACATTTTCAAAATCTCTGACAAACGTCCTTAATGTTTGGCCAGATGAACTTCTCTCTCAGGTGACGAACCGTTACACGGGCGTGGGGTGTGCCGGAGAATGGACACTGTCGAACGCTTGTTTTCGTAGTTCGGCGGGAACGTACGGGCGAAAATGGGCTGTGGATATGTCGCAGTAGATCGGGTAATCGTCGATGATGAGACGTTGTAGTTTGATCGACGAATTTCCGACGGTTAGGAGATTTTGTAATTCGTCATCCGTTGCCTGAGCAGTCTGGATGCTCTCCGACGTCAACTTTCTAGGCATGTCGATTGCGCTGATGCGTGAGAGAGCATAAGCTACGACGTTGTCCTCTCCACATACATGGACCATCTCAGTTGTAAACTGCGAAATGAAGTCGAGTTGATGTATTTGCCGAGGAGATGCCTTTTCGGGGCGTTGTCGAAATGCGTAGATCAGTGGGCGGTGATCGGTTGTAATAACGAAATGACGACCCTTAAGAATGTGTTGAAAGAACTTAATGGCGGCGAAGATCGCAAGAAGTTCTCGATCGTAGACGCTGTAACCGGCTTCTGTTTTGCTGAGCTTACGGGAGAAAAATCCGAGGGTTTTCCATTCGTTGTTGACGAACTGCTCGAGCGCTGCTCCAACGGCAATATCGGAGGCGTCGGTTGAGAGTGCTAGAGCCACGTTGGGCGTGAGGAAGCTCACCTGAGTTGCTGCGGCGATTTTCCTCTTACACAGTTCAAATGCGGCTTCTGATTCAGCAGTCCATGGAATTTTTCGCTTGTCTCTCTTTTTAGAGTCTTTCATAAACTCGTTGAGAATTGCTTGCGCGTGTGCGGCATGTGGAATGCAGCGGTGGTAGTAATTTACCATTCCAAGAAATCTGCGAAGATCCATGATCGTTTCAGGCTTCGGGAACTCAGTGATAGCTTCCGTTTTTCTCTCGGGCGGTGAAAAACCATGGCAGTTGACTTTGTAGCCGAGATACAAAACCTCTCCCTTCAAAAACTGGCATTTCGCGAAGTTAATGCTAAGATGGTTGTCGCGTAGGATTTTGAAGATGCTCTCTAGGTGTTTCAAATGCTCCTCCTTAGTTGCGGAGCGAACTATGAGGTCATCCATGTAGCAGTCTGCGAAGTCGAGTGCTCTTAGAAGATTGTCCATTTTGCGTTGTTGAGTTTGCGCGCTGTTACGAAGTCCTTGAGCCATGCCAAGAAATTCGAACTTACCAAATGGTGTAGTTATTGCAGTTTTACCTATGTCCTCCTCTGCCATGGGAGTCTGGTAGAAGGCTCTCTCGAGGTCGATGATCGTAAACACTTTGCAATTGTAGCAGCGGTGTATGATGTCTTCGATATTCGGAAGTGGGTAACTGTCAGGTATAGTAACGCGATTGAGACCGCGATAGTCACCTGTTGTGCGCCAACCACCTTGAGTTTTCTGTACCATGTAGATTGGACTCGCCCATTGGTTGCTGGACGGTCTAATGGTACCTAGATCCAGAAGAGTTTGAATATCGTTGCGAGCTGCTTGTAACTTTTCACTCGTAAGACGACGTGGGCGTTCGGAAACAGGAGGTCCTGTCGTGAGGATGTGATGCACGACTGGACTGTCGACGACACGGGGCGGTGACGGAGGTTTCGTGATCTCCGAGTACTTCTCGAGGAGTTGACGGATGTCCGGAGGAAGAGCTGAAGTGTCCTTGGTGATTGTGGAAACACTGTGAAAGCTCGTTTCGCAGACTTGTCCGATTACCGACAAGCTCGTTGTCGGATCAATTAGACATTTGTTTTTTAGATCGATCAGGAGTCCACAGTGTGCGAGGAAATCAGCACCTATGATGGGTGTCTTGACCTCGGCGAGAGTGAAATTCCACTTGAAATCGCGGCGAAGTCCGATTTGCAGAGATAGTAGTTGCTGCCCGTATGTGTTAATAACTGTGTTATTTGCAGCGAACAGTTTGAGATCCAGCAGATGCGTGTTATGTCGGTTCCATGTGTGAGGAATGATTGAAATGACGGATCCTGAGTCAACGAGGAATCTTTGATTCTTAGCTGAGTCGGTGATAAACAGGCGGGACTCTTTAATTACGGCGTTGTTGTTTATGTCCGGGCTGCCGCAGGCCGTCTGGATGTGCGGCAGCGCCGTTAGTTTTCCGATCTAGGCAAAGTCTGATTGACGAATGTGCATGGCGTATGACAGTTTCGAGCGTTGGCACCGAATCACTGGTGGTAAAAACATAACCCATTCTGCAGTTTCTGCACCTGCGACGGAGGCGTGGCCGAGCGAGAATAAGAACGAGAGCGTGATCTCGGCCTGCGAAATTGGTCTAATTTGCTCGAAACTTGGTGCAATGAGAGTGACAGGGTCTCCACAGACCTCTCAAGTGCACTCAGTCTCTGCTTTGTGCTGCTGTTGTTGTAGGTGTTAGTTGCCATCATCTGAACATTGGTAGGGCTCTGCAGCGGTGGAGGTGTGACTGCTTGACGGTACGTAGTCATAACGTGCGAACCAGTGTGGTTCTCCATCGCTCTATCAGCAGCCTCTGCGAGTTGATCGAGCGTACTGGAGCTCTAGACAGCTTTCAGAATTCTGCTGACAATGTCGGGTAGTAATACTAGCCATCTGCTGCGGAGGAGTTCCTCGGATGCTCTCTCTCCAGCTAAATCTCTCATGTGCTTTAATAGTTGACTGGGCTTTTGATTCCCAAGCTCTAATTCTGTCAGCAATTTATGCAAGCGGCGATCAACTGATTCAGTAAAACGTTCGATAAGCTGGGTTTTCAGAAAACTGTACTTATCTGCTGCTGGAAGTGCTTTAATAACGTCGGTCACCTCTTTCATGTATTCCGGTTTGAGTGCGGCAACAACTGCGTTGTACTTGGCTATGTCCGTATGGATGTTTCTGTTTTGGAACTGGGTTTCGATGTGTAGAAACCACAGGTCTGGATCGTCACTCCAGAAGTCAGGTAGTTTAAGAGGATTGAGAGCCATTACCTGCGGATCATCTGCATTGAATGCATATGGGAAGTAGCTCGGTGCAGCTGGTTGAAATCCCGGTGTGCCAACTGGTGGAGGTCCATGCTGCTCTTGTGCACCGTTAATTGGTGTCGGATCAATCGGTCCATGTGCACCGAGAGCCTGATTTTGCGGAAATTGTGGGTTTAACGGCTAGTTGCTGGCCCTACGTGGTGGTGAGCGTTCGGTTGTCATAACGAGCATCAGATGAACACGAGGTAGTTTGAGGTTATTGCTTCTAATCTGTTTGCATCGGCGGGGTCACCAATTATGGAGATGCTTCTCTCATATAATAAAGACGGGAACGAAGTAATAATAACTTATATATATT